TTCTTCAACTCCCAAAGTCGTTTCACGAAAAGACCATCTAGCGGAAAAAGCCGACTGGACGTCAAGTGGCAACATCATTGTGAATGGGGTTGGTGGAGCTGGCGTCGATATTTTCTTTGCTCTGAAGGATGCTCTCTCTGAGAATTTGATTGTCTTTGTGGACCAAAGAAAACGGCATTTCGGTAAATTTCAGCCAAAATCAGCAAGGGAGTATCTTCGCAAGCTGAGGAAATCCCGCCCTGCATTTCTCGAGAAAGGCACGCGTTTGGTGGGAGGGGTCATGAATTGTGTTGCCCCGTCAAATCTTGAGGACTATGTTGTGCCGAGTGATTGCTTCCTCTTGACCCGAGACGAGACGGAGCGGTTCCATGGAACATTGGCGTATCATCCAGCATGTACACCTATCGTCCCAATGAATTCAGCCAACAAAACAGCTCTCAAGTCGGTGCTTAAAGGCAGTGAGGAACATGTTGACAAAGCCGCCGAAGAAATTTTGAGGAAGAGGATGGAACCTAGCGGAGGATTCATCGACTACAAGGCAATGCGTTCACATTTCAAAGTCATGAAGCTGGATGTTGAGGTTGATACCGAGTACGCGGTTTGCACAGGTTAATAGGCTCAATAAGTAAGTTTGTCGGCACAGTTGTTGGCAATTAACAAAAGCATGCAAACTGAAGTTTTGCGAGCTGGAATAAAACCTGCATCTTGAAGAACCGTGTCAGGAGATAAGCAAAAGCCCTGTAAGACTACCGGCAACTACTTACGTAAAAGCCTAAACCAGAACCCGGAACAACCAGAACGCGCTGCTGCGTCGTGCCGAGCAGCAGACTCAAGAGAAGCAGGCACAGCTGGATGAAGCCAATGCTCGAGTGAAGGCGCTGGAGGATGAACTGGCACTGCTCTCGCTCACAAGCGGTTCGAATGACTTTGCCTTGCGGGTCAAGGGGCTTCAGCAGGAGGTTTTCGCCAAGTGTGAGCAGCTCGTCCAGCAAGGCGAGAAACATCTCCGCGTCGCCGAACTGCTTGACAAGACGAAGAGCGAGCTGGCTCAGCTTAGAGAGGAGGTGGGAGGAGTGCGTCGCACGCTGCTTCGCGGGATTGGCTTGGATCCGACGATCGCCACCGGTAGTCATGACTCGAGCGTCGATGACATGCTGTACCAGCACGTGAAGCTCGAGGAGCTGGTGCGTCTGCGACTGAAGGCGTTGGAGCATGAGTGGAAGCTCGCTGGAGGTCCAATGGCGTCTTCTTCGTCGTCTCTTGACCCCGCGACAGACGAAGGCGAGGCATCGTCGTGCCATTTACCCAACGTCGACAACTTCTCAGCCCTGGACGCTCTCGGCCTTGGTGGCGCTGGACGGTTGGAGCGTGAGATGCGAGTGCTACGAAGCCGCAACAAGCGGCTGATCGAACGCACTGAACGACTCGAAAGCGAGCTCGACACGGCTCAAGCTGGCCTGCGAGACCTGCAAAGCATGCGAGAAAAAGTCGTGGAGATGGTCGGTCGTGAGCGAGTCGAGAAGGAGCTGCGTGCCAAGAGCGAGCTGGCCAACAAGGAGCTGGGCGAGAAGGTCGCCGCTCTCTCGGAGCACGTGGAGAAGCTCATGGTGCATCTGAAGCACGAAGCGGCGGCCAAAACACGCGCAGTGGAAGCTCAACGTCGTGTGGACAAGGAGTTACTCGACGCAAAGGACAAGTTAGCCACTGCAACTCGCAAGCATGTCGCTCAGGACGCAAAGGTGGCGGAGCTGGAGCAGGGCGCGCGAATCCTGGAGGACCAGCTCCGTCTAATGGACGAGAAGTTCATCGACGTGCGCAACAAACTGGACTGGACGCGATCAAACGCACGCAAAGAGAACAAACAGCTCTCGGCGGAGCTGTGCTCGCTGCGTATGAAGTGGCAGATGGCGAGCGACTCGGGCGTCCTCGCTGGGCTTCCCGACTGGGTCTCTGCTACATCCGTGGCGAAGTTCTCCAAAAAGCCGCCGCTAGGAACCAGCAGCTCCGACTCGCGACTGCCAACGCCTAAAACCTCCAACAACGGTCTTTCGCCCGTGGTAGCAGCGGTGGTGCAGGACGCCTTAGCCATTGGCAACGGCGCGCGTGTCAAGTTTGAGATCCCGAAGTTGCCTCAGCCGGAGGCTGACGCGGGCACACCGTGGTCTGACGCCAAGTTGTCCGTACTTCAACGTCAATTCCAAGACAAACGCCGAGACTAATCTCATGGTTAATAGCATGAAAGTTGCCGACTTTAAGCCTTTGATTGAGATTAGATTGATGGAGGTGGTGGTTAGTATACTCTACGTCACAGAAATCTCATTCTCATTTGAGAATCTGCGGCCTTGAGGAACGATGGGGAAGATAATACTCACTTGCGCGATTGTTGGTGTGGGCAGCACGTTCGGCGTGGAAGTCGACGATGGCGAGAAGGTGGGTGGGCGAGTTGAAGGAACCGATCAAGCAGGAAAACTCGATGGCTTGACCCAAAAGGCAAAAACCATATCCGCCACTTCAACATGGAGACCACTACAATATCGCCGAGGGGGGGGGGGGGGGCTCAGCTGAGTCGTCAACAATCAATTTGACAACGAGTTTTATTGGCCGAAAATACATTCCGGAAGGGCAGATCCCGTTTAGGTACGATGGCGAGTTCTCTTCCCTTTCTTCATCCCAGAACTTGCCGCCTCGAGGGAAGATGAAGCTCTTCTGCGCGATCGATGGTGGGGCAGGCCCCGCGTTCTCGGTGCGAGCGGACGAGAGCGACACGGTGGACGACTTGAAGGACGCGATCAAGGCGAAGAAGCCAAACAAGTTGAAGGACATCGATGCAGGTGACCTGCAGCTCTTCTTGGCGAAGAAGGCAGACGGCGGATGGCTCCCAGACGACGATGACCTGGACAGGATGCTGCAGAACAATGTTGACACCTCGAAGATGGAGAAGTTGCGCGCGTCGCGGAATTTGGAGGAACTGTTTGGGACTGGCGCTTCGCTTGGAAAGAACGTGGTGCACGTGCTGGTGGTTGTTCCAAAGCCAAAGCAAGCGATCTCGGCTTCAATTGTCTCCCAAGATGGTGTCTTTGATCCCTGCAGTGATCCGTTCTTCGCACAATTCCCCGCGGTTGAGCAAGTAGGCGATTGGCTCGAATTTTCGTCGTTGCTGCCGTTAACAAAACGTCAGAAGCTCTACATTCGTTCTTCGTACAAAGTGATCGCCGACCAAGCACTGATGAATCCAGATCGGACCATGGTCAAGTATGCTGTCGTCACGGGCACGCCTGGGATAGGCAAGTCGGTGTTCGTCTACTACATGATGTGGAGGTTGATCAAGGAGAAGAAACGCGTGCTGTTTTTCTCCAAGAAGGGACCGATTTACTTTGATGGGTCGACGATGTTCCAGTGCGAGTTACTGCCAAATAAGTTTGACCAACGATTTTGGTCGCCTGACCTGTGGTGCCTCGTGGACTCGGTCGATCCAACCGCTATGACGGAATTACCGATAGAGGACTGCTCAGTACTTCTCGCAAGTACACCGCGACGAGACTGCATTGGAGAATTTAAGAAGCTCGTTCCAACTCCAGATGTATTCTACATGCCACTGTGGACCAAGGAAGAACTCGCGATAACTGCTCCCCTCTATCCACATGCAGCATCTGTGTGGCGAAATCGCTCAGACTGCTTGGGTGGTGTGCCTCGTCTTGTGTTGCAAGACATTGGAACTGACCCGCAAGTGTTGCTGGAGACCGCATGCAATAGTTGCTCTCTTGATGAGTGCAAGACGTTGGTGTCCATCAACTCGGAGATTAATTCGAGGACCCAGATGGCTCAGACTCTGATTCACATCCGCAGCCAAGAGCCATATACAGAGTACCAAGTTGTGTATGCGTCGGAATTGGCGATGAAAGTGATTGCTCGGACGAAGCTGATATCGAATCGCGCGAACATGGAAAGTTTTCTCAGCGCATGCAACGGGAACCCGCTGGCTCAATCGCTGTGCGGATACATCTTCGAGCCTCACTGTCTGCGACTATTGCATGAGGGTGGGAATTTCGAGTATTGAGAACTGTTGACTGGCGCCGAGATGCAGCGTCAACGCAAAAGAGGCCGCTGAGATATTGATGAAACAGAAATTACAATCCCATCGTCATCGAAGCCTTCTCAAATTGTGGAGCGGGTGGAAGTTGATCAAGTTGCGAATCAGCTTTACGTGCCTCGGACATCGAATTATGTCGCTATTGATGCATGGATGCCGCAGTTCGGTGGATTCCAAGCCACTGTGGGAAAGAATCATGAAATCAAGGCCGGCGCGGCAGATGATTTGGCGAAACTGGGTCTGGGTGGCAATCAACTCTTCTTTTTGCTTCCACCGCTGTACTACAAATCATTCACCAAGAAGTCGCCCACGACAATTCGGCAGTTTGCAATCCTTGTTCCGTATCCCGAAGAGATTTAATGGCACCGTACAAACGCGATGAGTGCGAGGTGGGAGGAGAGAAAACTGGTGCTAAGACAAGCTTGAAACTCGCGAGTAATTCGACAATTCAACATATTACGTCTTCAACACTGCCATATCGGCGACCACTACGGACAGCTCAGCTGCAACTACTACTACGCCTACTGCTACCACCACTTCGGCGGCGGATATACACTTTTTCCTGACATCTTTTTTTCTGGCTGTCTTCCTCGGGTGCACTGACTTGAACCGTATTGATCGCATTGACACGGCGTTCAATGGCTGCGTGAATCTCACAGAACTGAACTTGGCGGACAGCCGGCTGTCGGCTTTAAAGGACTGTTGTCGTTCATGAACTTGGACCAACTTGCTGTTCTCGTTGAGCGACCCTCACTTTGGTGACAATCCCGTGTGTAGACTGTGTAATTACCAAACGTATTTGATGTGCCAACATCCCCGTTTGAGTTTCCAGGATACCGTGGAGCTGTCAGCGCGCATAGCGGAGGCCACTATGATCATGAAGAAAATGTACTATAACATGCGGGTTAAGGCGATAAAGCGCGATGTGCACCGAAGGATTCGCCACGCCGAGACCATTCGCAACCAGGCTGAGCATCACATAGAGACTAGCGTGTCGGCTCTGGTGCGACCTAAGAAGGAAATTGAGAGGTTTTTGGTCGAGAACAGCGCTTGAAAGGAGGAAATCACTGCAAAAGTGTCACAAGATATGATCACTGCGTTGGAGAAGAAGCTGGAGTGTGTGAGCTCGTGTCTGCAGGACCGCTACAGTGGAGTGTATCGCATGAATCAAGACTTTGAGTGGTTAAGGACAAGTTTGACGTATACTTCCTAAGATGAGCATTGCGCGTCTAATGCTGGAGCTGGAGACCGGCGGCAGTTAACTGTCGGACGCGTGGTTCGGCCGAACAAAAAGGCCCAAGGTCAACGTAAGTAGTCGAGTCGGGCACATCGATCGTTCAGCTTTTTTTCTGATCGTTATGTATTTACCAACGAGCACTGCTCTGCACCTTCCTGACCACCAGCTACACCACCGCTAAGTAGCACCAGGTGGAGTCACCGCACGCAGCAACAACAACAAGGGTTTTCATTCGAAAGAATCATGCCCAGGCTTTCTTACAATGAATACCCTCGCCATAGTGACACGCCCTCATCACATTGTCATTTCCGCTTAGGTACGATCGTGAGTTCTCTTCCCTTTCTTCATCCCAGAACTTGCCGCCTCGAGGGAAGATGGTGACGCTCTTCTGTGCGATCGTTGGTGCGGCGGGAAGCGCGTTCCCTGTGGACATTGACGAGGAGAAGTCGGTGGACGACTTGAAGGACGCGATCAAGGCGAAGAAGCCAAACAAGTTGAAGGACATCGATGCAGGTGACCTGCAGCTCTTCTTGGCGAAGAAGGCAGACGGCGGATGGCTCCCAGACGACGATGACCTGGACAGGATGCTGCAGAACAATGTTGACACCTCGAAGATGGAGAAGTTGCGCGCGTCGCGGAATTTGGAGGAACTGTTTGGGACTGGCGCTTCGCTTGGAAAGAACGTGGTGCACGTGCTGGTGGTTGTTCCAAAGGGGGGAGATGTCGAGCACGACAGGGTGGATGTGCCGAAGGGACGTGCTGTGGATACGACTTCGTGTGATGATCTCCTCGCGTTCCTGGAAAGTGAAATGGCCAACAAGCAAGAAATTGTGGTAAACCGTAACATTTTAGGTGCCGAAAGTTTACAGTTTCGATTGGTTGGAAGAGAAGAGGCAATTAAGACCGCAGCGGATTGCTTCAACCGAATCATCGAGGCTAATCGTGGTACAGGCTCAGACCGCACACACCGTCCTATACCTGTTTGCTCTGGAATTTCGGGTTTGGGGAAAACGCGTATGCTGGAGGAAAGTGGCACGATTCTTGAAGAGATGAAATTGGACCCCAAGTACGTTGTTCGCCTGATTGTTCCGTACTACAATGGATATAAGCCAATACCAGTCGAGCGGTCGATGCCGATTGAGGCGTCTTTCTCGTGGCGGCTTTTGTATCGTTTTTTTCTGGACAATAACTGCGCGTTTGATTTCGTCACGTGGTTCGAGTCACGGCTACCTTGTAATGGAAGTCAGCTGACTTTTCGTAACTGCATTAAAATTATCGAGCGCAAGTTGCGTCAGAGCGTGCAAGTACAAAGGATGCAGTGCATCTTTGTTGGCATCGATGACTACCAAAAGATTGAAAAACTAAGGACCTCTGGAGCAAATGCCGGCACGTCAATCCTGCGCGAACTCGTGGAAACCATAGCACATTTCCTGTGCACGAAGATGTCAAGTCTGGTTGTGTTGCCCATGTTTGCAGGGACGGATTTGGGCGTCATTGCACCGGATTCAATCGCCAATTCCTCGTATTATGTGACCAAGCGGCTTCCCATGACCCTCTTGACCCTGGGGCAAGTGCTCACCTCTGTGGAGAGCAATGCAAATTTTGCTGGGTTCTTGCGACATACTCAGGTCTATCGCCATTTGTTCGCTCTTGGAGGTGTTCCACGGTGGGTTGTCGATTACCTATTGGGACTGAAGAGGTGCTCGGAACCAGATACAATTACATTGAAGAGCATCAAAATGTGCTTCGAGGGCGTCTGGACAACCTACGTCGATGCTTACACGGGGTTAATATCAACCCATCAGCTCGTCCGTTTGGCAGCCTATGCGGTGTCGGGTCGACAGGTTCGACACCAAGACGCGTTCGATAAACAGTTCAAGTGGTCCAAACTTCGAGATTCCTCGATATGCGTGCTCAACCCATCATCATCCACACCTAGAGTTTGCGATGTACGGGTTCCCTACGCGCTGTTGCAGAGTATCGCGTCGAGTGATGATATGACGAGCAAAGCAGAAATTTTTTTTGCAGCAGCTTTAAGTGACATTGAAGAACTGGTGGATTCGGAACTGTTCGTCCGTGAGCCGTGGCAGTCGTGGGAGATGTTCGGTGCTTGTTTCTATGCTGCTCGAATCAATGCCTTGCTGGTGCTTGGGCGCTCGACTGTGACGCTTGGGAGAGCTTCTGCC